AGTCGTGAGATTACGCAGTTTGCAACGCAGCTTAAAAGGCAAAAGCGCATAACATCTGGCTTTTCGTTCAAGGGACAAGTGTTTGTTCGTGTGCAGCCCAGTGCAGCTGCGATTAAGGTGCTCAGCACAGAGGAAATAGATGCAATCATTGCGGGCAAATGACTAGCTATTAAGTTTATGTGTAACATGTCTTCAGCCTCCTCCCTCTATATTATTTCTCTTCTTTTTACTAAATACTTACCTTATTCTATACTCATCTTCAATAATTTCGGCATTTTCCGTAATTTTAATCGTTCCTATTGTGCGGTATATGTACGGTGACCATAAATATATTTTGAAAATGCAGGCCAATTTAAAAAAAAATGTATCTACATATAATTGCGTAGTATAAAAATAACAAAAATATACTACATACATATATACATTCCACGTCATTTGAATAGTGCACCCTTTACTTGATTTTCTATCATACAAAGTATGCTTGACAAAATTTCTATATGGAAGAAAATGCGCAGCACCGTCAACAAAAAAATTGTCGCCCCTGTTTATCTTTTTTTAATTTTCAAAAATTTTTTAAATGGGATGTAGACGTAGAATATGCTATATTTTTATAAAAAGTTAATGAATATTAAGAAAACAAAAGGAAAACTGTACCTACTAAGTATTAAAAGGATGCGCTATTCAAATAACGAAGTCTGTATATTTCTTAATTATTAATCCAATTTTAAACTTTAAACATAAATCACATTTGCTTCATTGGTATTAATCTTTTAGTAATGAATGTTTACAAAATTATAATAAGGCATATTACTTACTTATTACTTTACACGAAATACGAACCTCTGTAAAGCAAATTTTTTAGGCAAACTTTGGGTCGTTGAACACGAAAAAAATACCCATGGTTTCAAAGAAGTGTTTTCGAGATTCGTTCGAAAAACGTATTTTTAGTACTTTTTCAGTTATTCCTCAAATCTCATGAAACGACCAACAGTTCGAAAGGTATTGATGGGCTCTTTGCAAAAATATATATTTTTTGTGCAGATTGTGTTCCGTATCATTCTACATTTCGCATCAGATTTTCATTTACTGTAAAAAGAAAATTAATGAAATTTCAATTTTTCGATTTTGGTCGCTTGTAAGACTAATAATTTGCAGCGAAATCGGCAAAGTAATATATTTTTGTAAGAGGACTGTAGGTCGCTTATGTTGATTGGATAATTTTTTCATGAGATATTGACGAATAGGTTCGAAATGTACCAAAAACACGTTTTTCGAAAAAATTACGAAAACGCTTGTTTCAAAGGAAAATTGGCTTGGAAAATATTTTTTTCTTAAGCGATTACCACAACATTTGTAGAAGAGTGTTATCGATATATTTGATGCTGGTCTTCAATTTCTCGTCATCCATTGTCCATAACCGTACAATATTTAGAACGCACTGACTAGTTGAACCTTTGAAACCAGCTTACCCTTATGTAGTTATCAATTAGTTATCGACACTGCTTTTATTTCGATTAGGAAAAGTTAATTTTAAAATATCGAAGAAAATGCAGGACAAAGGCAGGACACTTGGAAAAAATCAGTACATTTTGGGGGTTTTCTGTTTTGAAAAACTACGCAGGACAGACCTTTAAATAACAGTACGGTCCTGCAAAAAACAGAACGGATGGTCACCGTAGGTATATGTTGCTTCGCACTGAGATACAAGAAAAGTTAAAATCGCTGTGGTTCCAAAGACTACACGTTTAATATGATACAGATACTGGGCAAACAAATGCGCGGCCTGAAGGTATGTCACATTAATGCCCAAATCCTTCATCCTAAAATCGATGAATTTAGATATATTTTTGAACGTTCCAATGTTGATGTTTTGTGTGTGTCAGAGACTTGGTTCTCTTCGTGCCATGATGATTTGCTTTGTATCAGTGGGTATAAACTGTTTCGCTCAGATAGAATCGGGCATGGTGGTTTTGTCGCTATTTATATTAAAATTGGTCTCTCGTGTCGTCTTAAATGTAAATCAAGTGCCTCGGATTCCATTGAGTATATCTTCGTAGAAATTGTTAGCAGTACAAATAAAATCCTAGTTGGCTGTGTATATAGACCAAATCGCATCATTGCATACTTCCCATTTGTTGATTTTATTGAGAATCTTACCTTAAATTACAACAACATCCTTATAAGTGGCGACTTTAACAGTGACTTGCTTACTGAAACTGAGTTTTCGCTATCAATGGAAAACCTTGGACTTTTCCCTGTTAAACGTTCACCCACACATTTCACGCGAACCAATAGCACGTTATTAGATGTATTTTTTTTATAAATAAGAGGTCTAAGGTATTACTTTATGACCAACTATCCGTGCCAAATTTCTCTAAGCATAACCTGATATATCTCACCTACGATTTCCAATTTACTTACGACACCCTCACATTTTCCTATCGCGACTTCAAGCATATAAACTACCACCAACTCGAGATGGCAGATGATGGCATCAACTGGGGATCTATTCATAGTATGGTGTCAGCAGATGAACAGATTAATTTTCTTGAAACCAAAATTGGCGAACTTGATGATAACTTTGTGCCGATTGTAAAAAAATCTTATAGTTCTAGGACTCATCCATGGTTTAATAGTCAGATTAAAAGACTGATTTACAAGCGGGATAATGCGTATCAAAGATGGAAACGGTCAAAATCTGATATCACGCACAGTGACTATAAGATGCTTAGAAAGGAAATAACGAGCTCAAGTGATGTCACGTCTTCAAGATTATTAAACTCTGGAGGTCCGAAATATTTCAGTCGTGTTTTTGATACGGCAGGACAATGGCATAGGATGTGTTCTAGGGTCTCCCTGGTTCCCGTCCCCATGCATTTCCTGCAAACTTCACTGACAGCAATCCCCATTTGGCTTGCGTGCGCTGCCAACATGTTATGTTTTGTTAGGACATCTATCATAGTTATGCAACCTCTTCGTGCCAGCGATAGTATAAACCGGGTTTGTGTCCCGTTTTCCAGTCTGCATAAATATGACTTTAGAGATTGAAAGGCGTTTAACGAATCCCATCTCGATATGGTCTGCTTTTTCACCCTTTGGTCTATTTCGTTATAAAGATTTGACAGCGGTTTCGGAATGTTATTCTCTTGTTCTATAACCAAGTGGATTCCGCTCTTGGCAATCTCATCCACAATTTCGTTACCTGTAATGCCCTTGTGGCCGGGGGCCCAATAAATATGCAGTCGCCTGGTTGCTGCTGCCCTATTTATGGCCTCCCTGCTTCTAAGGACATTTTGTGACGTAAACCGGTATGAGCTTATAGCGTTAATCACTGTTTGACTATGTACGTAGGTATATGTTAACTTTAGAGTTGTTTTCAGTCATTGAGTAAGCTAGCTCAGCGGCTTTACTCACTGCGAAACCTCTGTCTGGAATATACTGCAGTGATCCGGCAGCTTGATGAGCCGACGAACACTAAGTTCTGAGCAGTAAATATCTAAGAAAAATTCCCATGTAAATACTCATTTTTGCTAGGCAGTATATTTATGTATGAACTTTCAATACAAAATAACTTAATCATTCATTTGATGAAGCTAGTACTTTCGAAAACATCGGAGCCTTAAATGTATCGATACATAAGAACTCGATCCTCAAAAGTACTCGATACTTTCCAACACGTAATTTTTATATTATGCGTTGCCGAAAACTTTTGTACATCACAGTGTCTCTTTTTTCTGCAACCTCTGTAAAGCTATGAATATTGGCTCGTATACAAACAGATCTGCAACTTCTAATCAGATTTTTTAGAAAAAATATTCACAAAAATCAACGCGATTTTCCAGCAACTTCAAACTTATACTAAAAACAAATGGGCTATAAAACTGCATACTTAGAATTTTTGTAAAATATCTGAGTAGAAGTTGCAGATCTGTTTGTATACGAGCGTATACACAAGAATCGGTTTGTAACTATTTCTACTGGGAACGAATTGCGCATGCACGGTATCTCTTCATGTTGATTTTACGTCTGTCAGGCAAAATAAATGTACTTTACCAAAACCCAGTTCATTTCGACGCTTGGTTTTTTTGCAAATTCAAATTCAAAAAATTTATATTATATGGTCGTATACAAAGAACCGACTAAGGTTAAGTAAACTGATACGATAAAAGTAAATATTGCAATATGGCTGTCAAAAGAAAGACGTTTAAGGAAGGCTTACAGCCGAAAATATTTTTGTGGAAGATTGTCACCTGTTTGAAAATTTTATTCAATTAAATTGCTCAAATAAATGAAATATTGCAATATTGGGTATTAAAAAGGTTTAAGAAAGTTTACTGTTTACTGTTTACTAAAATATGTTTGAAGCCTGTTGCCACCTATTTGAAAATGTAATTCAGTTAAATTGATAAGAAAAGGTAGATATTGAATTAGTACACCATTGAAGAAAGTGCGAGATATGTAGACTCGAGTTATAACAACACCAAAATACTTTTAAGGCGCAGGGAAGTACGCTGGCTATTGGCTAGTGTAAAATAATTATTACCTAAAGATTGGCAATAACAGGGCGAACAAAAGAAATTAAATGATATTACGACAGTTATTATTTGACACACTGTACATGCTTAATATTTTGCATCAGTATGGAAGCTCATTTGCACCCATTTTAAATTCTCACGTTTCCTATATATTTGTTTTAAGTTCAACATTTCATGCAAACAAACACACACATACCACATGCATTTGTGGCTACACGTTGCTGCATCTAGAATAAATGTGCTTAAAAAGCTGTTGATTGACGTACATCACACATTCACAATATGTACGTCTCTATGTATATGCAAATGTACCTACTACACGTGTATGCATATGATTATGAATGTTATGTAACTTACAAAAATAATGCCGAAATAACAACTATTTGCATCTGAACTAGAAAAGAAATCTTTGAATCTGAAATTGTGATATTTCAATTTTTAAAAGCATCCCAAAACATGTTGCAGCTACAACCACAACAGATACGAAGACAGCCGCAAGCAGCACAACAGTTGCATCAGCAGCAGCAGAGGGATTCCATGTCTGCAAATTCTAGTGCGGGTGGCCTTGGTGGTCTTCGCGGCGGCCGCCTAGACGTCTCAGGAAATGTCACAGCCACAGTTGTTGGTAGCGCCGCGAGTGGAGGTAGCGTAGGTGTAGCCGGAAATACCTTGTTACCGCTTACAGTCCCTGGACAGCATCAGCCCGTTTCCATAGCTACTGTGCCGGCAGCGGCAGTCCTTGCTGCATCAATGGGAGTTGGTACAGCATCCACATTGGCTTCAACTACTCCTGTAAGTGTTGGTGGTCTAAGCGTGAGTGTCACGAATGCTACCGCGGTCACTACGGGCAATGGTGTCGACCCAAAATTAGCGCAATCGGTATTGCCACAGCAACAACATCAGCAGCAGCAAATGGTATTAAGCTCAACTGATGCCACTTTAGCCACGACAGCATCCACTACAACTGCACTATTACCAAATTCACCAAACGTAAGCGTTCCACGATGTAGGCGCCAAAAATAAATGCAACCTGCAAAATCAAAATTTTACAAACAGTTCATGCATACATATCCTCTAGCATCACATACATACACACATTTATGGTTACATGCATCTACATACATATCAGTAATGAAAAAATCGCTGGCTCATTGAAATAAAAACATTAACGAATTGTCGATTGTTGACACTTGGGAGGTCCGCAGTCAACAAAAGAAATTTGGGGAAACGATATATCTTACAGAATTTAAGTAATTTCATCACTACGTATACACCTACATTCATATACAGTATATATGCGAAATAATAGCAGTGCGACATTTAAGCCAGTTTTGACTGTTCTCGTTTTCATTGATTAATGTTTTTTTAATTTTATATAAAAGGCTAGCTGATTATTTAACAAACACCATATATGTAAATCCACATTTCAAACTTCGTATTAAAATTATAAAAATTCAAAAATTTTCAACAAATATTTCGAACTTTTTAATCAAAATTTTAAGAAAAATGTTGGTCTGGAGTTTTTAGGCAATTCAAGTTTAATAATAATAATAATAATAGATTGGCGCTTACACATATGTTAGTGTTTGGCCGAGCCTCTCCTCCGACTTGTGACGTGCGCCTTGATGTTGTCACACAAAGCGGAGGGACCTACAGTTTTACGCCGACTCCGAACGGCGATTGTATTTTTATGAGAAGCTGTTTTTCATGGCACGCGGAGGTTTGCCATTGCCTGCCGAGGGACGACCGCTGTTAAGAAAAAACCTTTTTCCATTTTTTTGCGATGTTGCTTTGACCAGGGCTTGAACCCAGGTGCTGATGAGTGAAAGCGCGCACTGCTTACCACTACACCACAGCGGCCGACAATTCGATAATTCAAGTTTAGTATTTATAATAAAGTGCAAGTTTGAAGTTCCTAAAAAATCAGAAAGATTCTGACTAAACAGTATGAAATTTTGGTTAATGGTAATGTTTATTTACTTACATAGATGGTGTTTGTTAAATAATGAGCTAGACTTTTATATATGTACAATTAATAAACATTAATCAGCGAAAAAAGGCTATTCAAAACTGATCAAAATGCAAATATTTTGCACTTATGTAGGTGTAGATGCCAAAAGTAATAATGAATACCTCAAATACATAAGTCCCATTCTCAATTCTTACCTTCGGCTTTTGAAGTTATTGTGTGTAAGTTTTTTATTGCATGAAATATAAGTTAACAACTTTTCTCTAGCCCGCTTGTGGCTCATTTGGTTTTTTAAGATTAAAATTTGGATTTTTAAGTTTTTTTGTTTATTGCAATACTTTTATGTTTCAAAGAATGCCCCTTTTCATTTCAATCATCTTTTAATTGCACTTGGCTTTCCGAAAATCTTAATATATGTACATTTGCAAACGACCAAACTTATGTATAAATGTATAATTTTTTATCTTCCGCAGTTGAGCAAATACTGGGTAGTTTCGAATGGTCAAGCGCTTCCCTATAATATTTTGCCGAACGGTACAATAATCACACCGCACCAGCGACAACCAATCACTGAGCAACATACACAACAAGCTCAGCAGCAGCAGCAGCAACAACAACAACAGCAAGCAAATGCGTTACAAGTACACGGTAATGAAATCTTTTAAATTTATTTTCGCTTAGTTGGTAAGATGGATGCATGATGAAACAAAAAATCCCTAAAAGTTTTTGATTCGCCTTATTATAATTTGATGTTTGCAGTGATTACCATATAAAAAGGCATTTGAAGCATTCTAGTATCTACACCTTTTCCAATTGTACTTCGGATATCGTAAAATGTACTTCAGAATAGTCAATTGTACTTCAGAAACCATAAAATATACTTCAGATTAGTCAATTGTACTTCAGAAACCGTAAAATATACTTCAGATTAGTCAATTGTACTTCAGAAACCGTAAAATATACTTCAGACTAGTCAATTGTACTTCAGAAACCGTTAATTGGACTTCAGATTAGTCGATTGTACTTCAGAAACCAAAAAATGTACTTCAGATTTGTAAATTGTACTTCAGAAACCGAAAAATGTACTTCAGATTAGTCAATTGTTGTTCAGATACCAAAAAATGTACTTCAGAAACCGAAAAATGCACATCAAATTAGTCATTTGTATTTCCGAAAGCAAAAAGTGTACTTCAGAAACCGAGAAATGTACTTCATAAACCGAAAAATGTACTTCAGATTAGTCAATTGTATTTCAGAAATCATAAAATTTACTTCAGATTTGTAAATTGTACTTCAGAAACATATAACATTTTCGCCAAAAAGTGCACTTACCACAAATGAGCGCTCAACCATGAATATATTTTCCAAATCTATGTAGCTTTGAGTTTTTTCGCAACATTTATTAAAAAAAAAACAGCTGGTAGCTTTAATAATATACATACATACATAGGTTGAAATTACATGCCAACTGGCATATCAACTAAGGAGAGTGCAACCGGGTGAAAGGTGGTAGAATGCCGAATGGCTCTACCACAATCGCCGCCGACCACCGTTGGTTTTGCCTCGTCAATAAGACGCTCCAAATAGGAAAGTCTTTGCTCGACTACGCCAGGACCAAACGTAACTGGAACTCCAATCTTAACGTTCACATATGTTTTTATTTTAGACCAAATTATTTCTATAGGGTTCAGCATTGGCGAATAAGGTCACAGGCGTAGGAGTGTTGCCTTTTCTGTGGCGTTATAATTATTGATGGCATGTTCCAGGGAGTGGCACGGAGCATTATCGCACACCACAACTAAATCCACAAGGTTGTTGCCCATTTCAACCCACCTCTGAAGGACAGTTTGTATCCAATTGCATGCATCCGCAGCTTTAAAAGATCCGCGTCGGCGCTCCATTGCTATTATTCCGCTTGTGGCTATAGCTCCGATAAGATGAATATTCGGTCCACGCGCGGCTGGTAGCATCTGAACTGCTCTACATCCAGAGCGTGCGCGACCCCGTGTGCGACGGCAGAACAAATTAAAATTTGTTTCGTCAATATATATTATTTGTTTTCCAGCTTGTATAAAAGTATTTAAAGCTCTTACATATTCGGCGCGTCTTGCCTTATTTACGGCACTGTTCATGGTCGCTGGCTGGTGGTTTACATTTTTAATCGTATACAACCTGCCCTGTAAATAGTAAAAAAAGTCCCAACATTGGAAGAAGTGAACTGTAATGTTAAATGGATTATAGAGCGCTGCTTTAACACCTGAAGTACATTCACAAAAGTGGTTTCTGAAGTACATATCACACTTTCGGAAGTACATTTTAGGTGTCTGAAGTTCAATTGATTAGTGTGAAGTACGTTTTTCGGTTTCTGAAGTACATTTTTCGGTTTCTGAAGTACAACTTACGAATCTGAAGTACATTTTTCGGTTTCTGAAGCACATTTTCCGGTTTCTGAAGTACAATTTACAAATCTGAAGTACATGTTATGGTTTCTGATGTACAATTGACTAATCTGAAATCCAATTAACGCATTCTGAAGTAGATTTGACTAATTTGAAGTACATTTTACGGCTTCTGAAGTACAATTCATTAATCTGAAGTACATTTTTCGATTTCTGAAGTGCAATTGACTAATCTGAAGTATATTTTACGGTTTCTGAAGTACAATTGACTAATCTGAAGTCCAATTAACAGTTTCTGAAGTAGGTTTGACTAATCTGAAGTACATTTGATGATTTCTGAAATATAATTGACGCTTTCTGAAGTACTACTAGAAAAGGTGTAGACTTTACAAAAGAAAAAAAAAATACAGTTCGGCTATTGGAGCTCATATTCGAACTTCCTTTCGCTTTCCTAATAGTACCCAAAATAATAGCGCTGATACTTAGGAGCCTGAATGGCTTCGTGCCTTTGGCTCTCATTAGGGGTGCGTACTACTACTACGTAAGTCACAAGTTCAAACCAAGATGGACAGAACACCCAATAATAAATAAAGGCAATGGCAAACATTCGAATGTTATTAATTCTAGCAGAGAAAATTTTCTTGTAAACGCTACCTGTCCTTCGGAGATCACCAAATACTCGAGGGCTCTGATTTTTATCAAGAAACAACTAAAAAAAATATAGTTTAAAAAACTAAAAACTTGCTCTCCATAATTTCCATTCGTACTGCCATCAGGTGACTTTAAGAATAGAAATTTAAAGCAATTCCAATTCGTACTGCCAACAGGTATGTAACTTGAGAATGGAAATCGCTGCATCTTTTAGGCGCATCAATATTACATAGTTACATCCCAAGCTAATAAAAGCGAGGTAAAAACCATTCGACGATTTTTTAAAATATAGAAAATGAGCAACACATTTAACAAAAGAAAAAAAATTCCAAAAATCCGTGGTAAGTCTAGCTACTTCAAATATGTGCGTTTTTGTACTAAAATTAAATGGTCTAAAAAACTGCATACTATAAATCTTTCTACGAAATCCAATTAAAAAGTTTGAAATTCTAACGAAAGTTTGTTGAATATTTTTAATGGATTCATACGGTTTTCTTAAAAATTGTTCTAAGTATTTTCAAATGTATTTGTATTTTCAAAATCCGTATATTCTCTTATTTCAAATACTTTTTATGTAAACTATTTGTATTTTGTATTTAAATACTATTAGTATTTATAATATCTCTGACTATATACCACCCACGACAACGAAACAAACTATACAACAACAACAAAACAGAGGCGAATCATAACCAGGGTTCGGAAATATTCATATATGAACGTTCGCGTACATACATTTATGATTTTATACGCGAACGTGAACGTATCAAACATTCTCTACTGATTAACCTTCGCGAACGAGAAGCATAAAACAAGTCCAGATCGTTCGCGTTCGCGAATGTTAGGTAGATCAAGCAGCGTGCGTTCATATATATACATATGTAGCTATAAGTAGCATCGATGCCTTCGCGAAGGTACACTGCTGTCGTTCTCGTTCATAAGTGAATTTAAATGCTGCGGCAAATATTCGCAGAAAGTTGGTGTGGCTAGAGATACTATTCTATGCGAAGGCAATTTTGTTAATTGCATAAAATTTGAACCGTTCATTCGACTTTCAAAAATGAGGTGTCAAATGAAAGGGCTTGGTCTCTACATGTGCAGTAAGATTATTTTTTTAATAGGGTTGCCGCCTGCATTTAAAATTATGATATTTACACCGTTCTCCTGATTTTCAAAAAATGAGGTGCAAATGAAAGAGCTTAGCCTCAAGATTTGCGTTAAGGCTTAATTTTTTTTGGATAGGATTGCCACCTTTTTAAATATTATAAAATCTGTACGGTTCGTTTGATAAAAAAAAATAAGGTGTCAAATAAAAGGGCAGGGCCTGAAGGCGTACAAGAGGGATTTATTTTTTGTCGCCTGTCTACAAAAGTATAATATTTACACCGTTCTCCCGATTTTCAAAAATGAGGTGTCAAATGAAAGGGCTGGACCCTTTATTTTTTTGAATAGGGTTTCCACCTGTCTAAAAAATTATAATATTTACACTGTTCTCCCGATTTCAATAGTGAGTTTTTATATACAAGATGATCAAGATTGTCCTAAAGTTAACTTACCTATTAACAGCTGAACTTTTGAAGTTGATTTGCATAGTGAGGACCAGTAAATTACGATGAGCGGAACCCGAGATATTACAATTTGAAGAAGTACATGATTAGTCAGAGTTACGAAAAAATGCAAACTTTGACAGATCATATCTCCGAAGAAAAAAAATAATAAAAAAATTTCCTCGAATACGTGTTAGCTTATTTCATGTATAGAACTCATGAAAAAAATTTTAAGCCAATCGAAAGTGTGCTTCTGCACTTACATTTGTATATGAATATACATATGTATGAAAATAAAAGCTGATAAAAACAAATAGTTTTGCTTATTTGCTATTTTCAACATATAGTGTTGAAAAATTTAGGAGCTCAAAGTTTAATTTTGTAATTAATAAATTTGACAACGATTTCTTTGAAAGTTTTGTTCGAAGTTTAGTTATCTATTATCTATATTAATAAAAATGTTGTGTTCGTATGTCACGGTCGTCAAAACTCGAGAACGGCTGAACCGATTTGAATAATTTTTTTTTTATTGTTCGGTATAATACCAGAACCAATGATATCGCAAAAAACTGGAGGGTTGCCACCTATTTGAAAATGTTTAAACCCAAATATATTGATAAAATAAATAAATTATTGCAATATGGGTATCAAATTAAAGAGGTTTAAGAAAGATAGTTGCTGGAAGTATTTTTGACGGGGGTTGCCACCTATTTGAGAATTTTAACTCAGTTAAGTTGATTAAGTAAATGAAATATTGCAATGTGGGTATCAAATTAAAGAGTGTTAAGAAGGCTTACAGCCGAAAATATGTATCATTAGGGTTGCCACCTGTTTCAAAATTTAACTAAACTTCACTGATGAAATAAATGAAATATTACAATACNTGATGAAATAAATGAAATATTACAATATTGGTATCAAATTAAAGAGGGTTAAGAAAGATAACTGCTAGAAATATTTTTGAGGAGTGTTGCCACATATTAGAAAATTTTAACTCAGTCAAATTGATAAAATAAATAAAATATTGCCATGTGGGTGTCAAACTAAAGAG